TACCTACGCAAATTAAGGGGAAATACACTTGATTTAAGACATTTTTACTTATTTCTAGATTGTTTTTCCAGTGATGGATGGGGTATTTAGAAGAATGTGTGTTATTAATTTCTCCATTTTCAAATGAGGCATTAATCAGTGTTTCATGAGATGTTTTAAAACTTTGGGTATTGTTTTATATCCTAACCCTGGCTTCGATTTCTCCTCGACTCTTTGCTGTGTTCTTTGGTCTTCATTATGCTGGTTTGTACTCTAACAAACCTCTGAGAAGAAAACCTTTATACTAAATTAAATTAAACAGAAACGGGACTTTTATTGTGTTTTATTTATGTGTGTCAGAGTAAAGAGGATAATCATAACCAGTTTAAAAGTATCCACTGTTAAAATGTATTGAAATTCTTGCTTCTAACTATAACTTCGTCCTACAAGAAGCTTTTGCTTAAATCTTTCTGGGTTTTTTGTGCTTCTAACCCGTTTTTTCATTTTTAAGACTTTTTCTTCTTAATGTAAATTTGACTTCCATGTTGTTGTGTTCGTTGCAGTGCATGTACCTCCTGCTCCACACGGTCAAAGGGACGCCCTTTGAGACCCCAGATCAGGGGAAGGCTCGCCTTCTGACACACTGGGAGCAAATGGACTATGGCGTGCAGTTCACTGCTTCACGAAAGTTCCTCACAATCACGCCCATTGTCCTGTAAGTGACCCCTCCTCTGATTAAATGCTCCCTTGAGCCATTTTCCTCGTCAATATACTCTCTGCTGCCTTAATTGTTATAAAGTGGGCCAGTAGATTAGGAAACAAACTTAAAGAGAGGCCGGTTTATGCAGGTGCACCAATAAGTGCTTTCCTGGCTTTTCCTTCCCTCGTTATCATGAGAGTTCAGTTTACAGGAGGCACTTTGGTTTCCTGGGTCTGATTTGCAGGCTCAGCAAGAATACGGTAATGAGAGCAGCTCTGCAGGTGTACACATCGCTTCTTTCCACACTGGTCTCGTATTTGCAGCTAGCAGGAAGTAGCTGCAGTACTTTGTTTTGGTTTTTGTTTTCTGCTGAATTTACACTTACATGAGGATGTTCAGCTGCTGCAGAGGAGAATATGGAATTATTTGTAATAAATATAAAGCAACTAAAGCAGTTGCTCAGAAGACTTATGCACATTTTCAATGTTAATAGGACGAATTATCATTGGTGTGCGAGATATGAAAAATTTAGCTGCTTCAGCTGATGGATCTACCAGATATTGATGTTGGATTTTACTTCTAGTCAAAACAGACATGTTGGTCAAATTAAGAGATGCATTTTAAGCTAAATCTATCAGAGGTATGAAGTATTTCAGGCTTTCTTTCACCGGTATGATTCCTCTCACTGTTAATATATATTTGATTAATTCTATCATCGCGTTCTGAGATGGATAACAACTAACAAATCTCTTACTGACCAATGTTTTCGTCTATTTGAGGGGGTTAGACTGGTGTTTTCTGTCCACAAGAAGAATAAATCCCTGGTAGGCATACATCCAGATTTCTTACGCAATTCCTTCTCTTAATCCCAAATTTCAAGGCTAAACTGGGGAAGAGGTTTTGCAGTTTGCAAATGCATCCGCCTGGAATCTGTTAGAATTTCTTAAGTGTACAGAAGCCTGACCTTTTATATACTTTGTTTGAGGGTTTGGGATGAAAACATCTTGTGCCTTGTTGCTGTTTTGTGGGTTGAAATATGTTTATTTTTTTACTTTAGTGTTTCCTACTTTAATAAGATGGTAAAAAGTGGATTATAGAATATTAAATCAATTATAACACACTCAAGGAAAGTAATAATCACTAGACCTTTTAAATGAAAAATCAGAATCTATTGAAGTGTTCTATATTTGTCCTATTGCAAAACCTTATGGTTAAATCTTTACTTCTTAAGCGCATAAAAAGGTCATATTTTAAAAACTGTTATGATGAACAAGGTTCTTAGGATTCCTTGAACACTATGCTCTCTCTCTCTCTATTCTGTTTTTCCTTCAGGTACATTTTAACCAGCTTCTACACCAAGTACGATAGAGCCCATTTTGTGGTCAACACAGTGTCTTTGCTCACTGTGCTTATTCCCAAACTGCCGCAGTTGCACGGTGTTCGGATCTTCGGGATTAACAAGTACTGAAAGTCTGGAAGAAGAAGAGGAAGTCTAATTTTCCCCTGGATTGCTAAGAGAACACATTGTGCTGGGCCTCTGAACAAGACCCTCGGTACCTTATGCTGCTAGAGCTACTGAAAGGAAGCCCTCCAAGGATACTGCCATAGCACCCAATCCGAAAAACTCTGGGGAGAGAGAGCACAAGAGGAACGTGTCGGGTTGCAAGAAACTGTGATTTATCCTCATGTTTTACAGACACTATAGATCTTATTGAAGGATGAAGTCCCTGATATTTCTGAAGAAAATGTACAAAGGAGTGTGTTCAATTTTCCTCAGCTGGAAACGAAGCAGTTTTTAAAGTTAGCTTTAGCGTAATGATACACTACTGTATTTATTCAGCCTCGCTCCAGTCTGCAGCTTCATCTCTCATGAGGTTTGTGGTTAAAGTGGAGAGCAACAATACTACACTGACACGGATTGGGACTGGCAAAGAGCTGCAGAGGACAGACATAAGAAACCACCAGGTTTTATATTTGGCTCCTCTGGCTGCTCTGCTGTGCTCGGGGTCAGACTGGTAAGTTTAGCAGGCCCTATTTTTTATCTGGCCGTTTCCATATTTGGAAAACCTCTGTCCTGGTTTGTCCTGCATGCAAAGTGCTTTGGCACAGACCATGTGAGCAAAGCAACGGGCCCACAATGTCAGTTAGGAGATAAGATTTCTGTTTTTAAAACAACAACAAGGGTACGTAATTATCCCACAATGGTACTTGAGTTGCTTCAGCTGGTTCCTGTTAGCAGATCAGACATCGGAGCTGAATTTAATGCAATTAAAAATGGAGCATGCTATTGAGGATGTTTTCCATATTTACTTCAGATGAGCAAATTGAAATTCTTCTGACTTATGATGGCCTTTTTCCTTATTTTCAGTTTCAAGAAACTAGTTAATTTTTTTTTTTTGTCAAACACAATGTGACACCTATTGACTCCGCTGCTCTTAAGATATTGGGAAGAGAAAATAAAGGGATTTCTTACCAGAATTTTAAACAGAGTTTTGTTTCTTTGTTTGTCGTCAGCGATAAACTATCCGAACCGAGAGCTTAAATATTTTGGTATTTTCCCAATTTTGCCAATCTTCAACTAATGCTGTTACTGCCAATGCGCTTTACAGGTGCAGACCATTAACCATTACCTGTTAAATGTCCTGGTGCTACAAAGTCAAGCTTGTTCTTCATGCAGGTTGGAGTTCACCAGGGCTGCTCCTTGTCATCTTGGTTGTGTTCATGCACATGATCTTAAGTCCCAGTCATGCAATTAGGACATCTAGTGTGGAGACTGTGTTTTTCTTTGCAGGTGATGTGGACTTATCATTATCTCCAAAGCTACTCTTTATAGAGGATCAGTCACAGTAGAATGTGAAGAAAAAAGCACATTTTGTGCACTCATCGGACAGGTACTGATGAAATGTGCTAAGATATAACCAATTATCTCATAACTACAGATACATGATACAGAAAAGTGCTTTCCTCTCTCACCCTCTGTACATCTCTGTAAGTTACATTTCTTTGAATTTAGTATTCAATACATCCATCCATCCTCTACCTGTTGGGGCTGGTGCCTATTTCTAAGTGTATGGGTACACCCCAATACAGGGCACCAGTTTATCGCAGGGCAACAAAGAAACACACAAACATGCAAACACTCAAACCTAAGGTAATTTCACAGTAGTTCATGGTTTGGGATTATGGGAGGAAGCCGGAGTACCCAGAAAGAACCCAAGCTTGCACTGGAAGAACATGCAAACTCCATGCAGAAAGACCCCAGGCAGGAATTCAAACCCAACACCTTCTTGCTGCAAGGAAACAGTGCTACAGGCTCTGCTTTAATATTCAGTCCATCTTTTGAAACAATTTAGGCCAAAAGTTGGCAGATTGCCGTCACCAGCAAAGCACTGACCAATAATTGGTTTCAGTTAATAGAAAGGTTGAAAAAAATCAGCCGTTGAAATAATAATCAGTCCCCCATAAAATTGCTGCCCATTGCTGGTCAACTGGTTGAAAGAACATTACTACACCTCATAATTTGTGAAAGACAAAATGTCCCTTTGTCTGTAATACCTATTCAACACCATCCAGTTACTCCTACGATACTTTTTTGTTAACAAATTACTGTGTCAATGCCATAAACAATCATACTTAATAAATATACCACCATGGTTACACTCATAGAGTTTGAGGCACACCGTGTTAAAGGTATAGAGGATGATCTTTTACTTCTTAGTGGATCATCAAAATAAGTGGTCCTCCTAATTGTCAATCATTCTGTTGATAGTTTTACATAAGGCCGTCCTATGTGCTCGTCCCATAAGCTATCTCTTTCTGCACATACTGTCATGAACCAATGACAGATGGACCCAGTATTCAAGGAGAGACAATCAGTAGAAAAGTTCAAAAAAGTTTATTAAATAAAACAAAAACTATAGTGGAGCTGTGGCTCGCTGACACAGCAGGATGGGGAGCGGGGCACCGCCCAATCTCAGACATTCTGGTTTAACAGTCCAGTCCAAGAATGCCCCCAAAGCTGCAGTTCCAGAGGTCTTGCAGGAAGCCGATCCTGGTCAGGGATTCAAAACAGACAGGAACAAACCGAACAGGATCCAGATCAGGCTGGAACAGACAGTTGGCAGGATCCAGGCTTCCAGACATCGTAGAGCTCCCAGACAGGTTCAGAGTCTTACTGCGACCGAAAGCATTACCAGGCAGTCACACACAGGAGCAGACAGGATCAGGTGCAGACAGGCAGGCTCAGTGGCAGAGGGTAGCAGAGACAGGACGTGGAACCAGAACTTGATGCAGGACCTTTAAACTGGTCTCCTCCCTGGAGCCAGGCTTACTGAGATAAAACCTGAACCTCCCCACATATAGAGCCAAAAACCCAGAGGACTCCGCAGGGGAGGAACAGTGGACGATCAGGAGACAAGACAAACACAAAAACCCCTTTCCACTGGCCGCCAGGATCCAGAACAAGAACCAAGGCAAAAACTGAACAGACAGACTAACAGAAAACAAATAATGATCTGGCCCTGAATGCTCAGGCTGAACAGAATATAACCAGAAGAAACAGGTGAGAGGAATAAATTATAATGAGGCAGAGAGGGAAAACGGCAGGTGAAAGAGATCATCAATTAAAGAGGAGCAAACAGGCCAGATCATGACACATACTAACCTTCAGGCATGTGGTGAGCTAGGGTTTCAACCAGTCATTAAGGCTCACCTTTCTCACCGCTTTTCTTTGTAAATTGCAAAATGGTAAAAAAGAAAAAAGTGTCTACAAAGTGTATGAGAAGAAAAGAAAGACCTGAGAAGAAGCAGATATATCCCAGAATGCTTGGCGCGGAGAGCTTTCATTGCCAAGTATTGTGGGATTGGCTGTCACAGCAGCCCACTGCCGCTACCTCACAGCAGCGACTAATAACAAAGATGGCACAGGCATGACACAGTGAAGGAGGAGATATGTGACAAACTGGGAGCAAAAAGCATTGATCATTTGTCCAAACGGTCAGTTAACCGAGTTCGCTATAAAGTCCACTATATAATTCCTGCTCTATATAGTAATCGAGGGATTTAGGGGTTAGGGCGGACGTCCGGGCACATTAACCTCTTACACCCTCAGGGGGTATAAATAAATTTCTGCCTGACAAAAATACACAAAAGTAAATCACTTATAGCCTCACAGCTATTAGATTTAAGAAAAAACTTTTGGTACCTCTGTAAAGGTAAGATGTCATAGAATGGTTTTCTGGTGTCAGCACCATTGTAGCTTTGACCCTGCCTGAAATATTAGGGGCAAAATACTAAATATTTTGCATTTTTTAAACCTCGCCAAAATTTTCTTTGAAATAAACATTGCAAAACACTACCAAAATATTATTTATAGCACAAAAAAAGTAGTACAGACTTTTAAATCTAAATGTTGTGTAAAAATATACCAAATTTGGACTCAATCAGATGAATCATATTTATTTTAGAATGGTATTAGTGAGAAATTTCTTAGGCGGAGAGGCCATTTTGGCACATTTATCCAAAAATATCACCAAACTGTGCCAAATGTGTTTTTTACATCAATACTGGGGGTTTGTTAAAATTACGAGGTCACGTAGCAGCTGGACCCACCGGTGGGTCCGTAGGGTTCTAGGGGTTAAGCTTGTATGATCTATGAGAACAGCAACTTTTAAACAGAGCGTGCACGAGGAGAAAAGGGCTCGGCATGCTCTTGCACGCTTTTAATATCCGTTGCCTCTGAGGAGCGGGTACAGGGTTGTGCATGTGCATTTTTTTTTAAAGTGGACAGAGTGGGTCTTTGCAAAAATCCTCCTCAATACCTTAAACTCAAATAAGGTGCCAACTGTCTAAATGTGTAAATAACTGTTGATTTGCAAGAAATACAATTTTTCATTTGAAATTTATTGTCAATTTCTTATGCTAATAACAGGTTCTGACTCTTACTTTTTATTTTATTAGAAATATTATTCCATTCTTGCTGTTTGAATATTTTTCTGATTAAAACATCAGCCTTACAGTAAATATGAGCTGGATTTGCGGTGGGTCACGCATCACGTCAAAGTCATCTTTACGAATGCTTGACCCATTATAAAACATTTTTTGTCATCTAAAAATTTTATTTCTGCTTCTTTTACTGTGTTTTTTAGACTTTGACTTAGATTTATTTTGTCATTTTTTTGTACTCGAATGTAAACAAAAAGAAATTTCGCTAAGAACAGCTCTCCAGACAATTTTGTTTTTTAAAAAGCTTTGAAAACAGTAAAAATTACATAAAAGCATTAATATAATAATATGACTGTATATTTACATTTCTAACATTTTAGGTTTTCTTTTATGTGTGAGTTTATGGGAAAACATTTAATAACTAGTGTGTCATGTAAGCTTTTTGGCTAGCTTGTTCAGTCGAAGGTATTTAATGAACATTTAACATTTTATGATGTATAACTGATGCTTCAATGGGGTCTTAAAACTGTTAAAGTCTTGAGGTCTAAATATGGACTTTAAAATAAGGTGAAGTTAAATTTATTTGCCCTCTAGTAGCTTTTCTTGTCACTGTATCGTCTAACGGGGCGTATTGACCTGTCTCCTTGTTCAGAGGTTAATCTAAATGTTACTCAGAGTTATGTCCCCCAGTAGTCTGACTACACTGGCCAGAGTGTTTGGTACTTAGAGTCCTGAGCCAAATTGAAAATGAAAAGTGAATGTAATAAAAGTTAACAGCCTCTCTGCTTTTCGTTGATTGATTTCCCCACAGGGAAAGATTTGGCTTTCACCTCTCATGATTATTCACAATATTGTTCACACTCTTCTTGAAACGTCCAAAGATGCTATCAAAAGAACTAATCTGTGGCGTTTGTTTCAGGCATATGAACTGACACGTGTCTCTACAGTGGTGCATCTGTTAGGCAACACCACAGGATATTTAAGCTTTCATAAAGTGAAAGTATCAAGGGAGTATTAAAGAAGATGTGTCATGGCCTGGGTCATAAACTCTAAAATCACAGTTTTTATATCCAAATTAAAACCTTTCTAACGTTTAAATACATTCCTTTAGGCTATTTCATCCTTTTATTATTTATTTCTAGATAAACATTCGTTAGTCTTCAGAAAATGGTGGACTTGACCTGACTGGGCTGGTATGTTTATGGCTTAGTTTAGATTCAAAAACTGTTTGGATGTTCAGCTATTTAATTTTTTTTTTTTTTTACCTTAGATTCACCTAATTGTAATTAAAAAATGAAAGACTAATTTACACCTCCAAATGTAGGCATTTTGTAGGGAATTCCACTAAGTGCGTGGAGTGCGCACACTGCATGCATTCTGTCTACAAATAAAACTAATTAGACGGGTACAT